GGGGCGCCTCTCGCGAGGGTGGGCCTCTCTCGGGGCCCACCCTCGCGAGAGGCGCCCCGTCGGGGGGCCTCTCTCGGGGCCTCTCTCGCTCGTCGTCGGGGGCCCCATCTCGGGGGACGGGGGCCGGGCGGTCCACGCTCGCGCCGGGCGACAGGGGGGGATGGCAGAGGGGCCCGGCATCGCTCGGACGTGTGCTTTTTTTTCCTCGGCGAGAACCCTCGAGGAGCCTCCTTGACCACCTGGCGAAAAAACCACGCACGAAACCGAAAAACACACACACACACACAAAAAAAAAAATGGACGTCCGAGCGATGGCCAGGGGGGGCTTGAGCATCGACTCGCGCAGCTGATTTTCCCGGCGCCTCCTGGCGCCGGGAGGCGCCAGGACCGGAGGCGCCGGGAGAATCAGCCCCCCTTTCCCTATAGTTACCCCCCCACCCCATTTCCTTATAGTTACCCCACCCTTTCCCTATTAGTTACCCCCCCCCCCTATCCCTATAGTTTCCCTATAGTTACCCCCCTTGCTGCACGCAGCAGATGTCGTACCCCCCCCCCTTTCCCTATGGTTACCCCCCCCCCCCATGCGTTCGGCCCGACACAAGCCCGCGGGCCGCAGGCAGGCTGCCAGAGGTGGGTCCGAGGACGCCCGGGGCCCCCCCCGCCTCTGCGGCCCTCACTCTTCGGGCGATCGCAAACATTCAGGAGGGAAAGAAACGCACAGACACAATGAATCCTCGATTCCCTAGAAAAAATATGGGAAAATATAGGAAGTGGGCGGAAAGACCGAAACCTAGAAAATATTGGAAAATATGGGGGATTCTTTTATTTGTGTGTATTTATTTGTGTGTCCTTGGGCCCCTTCAAACATGGACGAGGGGGGCGTGGATTGGCGACGGGCCCCGTTTCCATGGGACATCGCGGACTGCCGCCGCCGAGCGAGGCGGCACCGGCCGCATTTTGGGGAGGAGATCTCCCCCGATCCATGGATGTGGCGGCGGCGCGCCAAATCCATGGATCGCTAATCCATGGAAGGGGGCCGGGCGATCGACACCCGCTGGCCGCAGGTTGCCAGAGGTTGGTTTAAGTCGGGCCTGTCCTTGTACAGGAGGAATGTTCAAAGATAGTAAAAGAATGATCTGGGTTCGATATGTTTAGTATTTCTTGACTGTTTTGGAACATTGTTTGACTATTTTCGTTTTTCGTCCAAACTCCGCCTGTAGAGGACATGCCCGACTTAAAGGTTGGTCAAAGGACGCCCGGGGCCCCCCCCCCGCCTCTGCGGCCCTCTCTCTGGGCCTCCCAGATGGGGTCCGAGCAGATGGGGTCGGAGGTTCGCGCCGTATCGCCGATGCATCGGCGATGCGGCTCGATGCGGAACCCGATGTTCTCCGCACCCACGTCGCCGATGCATCGCCGACGTCGCCAGTGCATCTCCGATGCATCGCCGATACATCTGCGATGCATTTCTGGAGGGAATAAACAAACAGACACAAGTAGTCGCCGATTCCCCAGAAAAGATGGGAAAAGATGGGAAGTGGGCGGGAAGACAGAAACTTCGAAACTATGGGAAGATGCGGGGAATCATTTGGTTTGTGTGTATTGGTTCGTGTGTCCCAGGGCCCCTTCAGCATGGGCGAGGCGGCGCGATCCTTCGACCCCCTCCGCGCGGACCCCATCCTGGGAGGCCTCTGCTCTCGGAGCCCCGGAAGGGGCGGCCCTGGGCCTCTTGCGAGGGGTGCGCCCGGGACCACCTATGGGCAGCCCCCAGGAGAGCCGGTGCCACTCCGGGCAGGGCCCGTGCCGGCCCGGCTCGATGTCGATCGAAGGGCATCGGTCGGGGGCGGGAAAGAGGGGGGTGATGACTGGGGGGGGGGGGGGGGATTTCATGGCGGGGGCCATGATTTTTCCTCAGATTTCATGGCGCCTCTTCTTATCTTGTTACGTCCCAGGCCCCCCCGCTGGGCCGCGCACGTGCCGCCGGTCGTGAATTGCATCCCCCCTCTTGGACACCCCCCTCTTGGCCGCTCCCGAGCATCGGGAGCCTCGCGGCGGGGGTCAATGCAAGCGGGGGTCAGCCAGAGCGCCGGATCTTGCAGGCTCCTGCAGGGCCAGGGTCGCACTGACCCGGGCTTGGGTGCAGGATCCGGCAGGATGTTGCAGGATTCTTCGCATTGACCCGGGTTGGGGTGCAGGATCTTGCAGGATCCTGCGAGGCCCGACTGACGTCGGGAGTGGATTGACCCGGGTCAGCAGATCCCCGAGAACAAGGAGCTGCACAGACAGAAACGTTGGGAGTTCCGCGCGAATGTCTCGGATCTGCGCTGGGCCCCCTGGCGGCGCCTCCAGCGACGCCTCCCTGGGCGCCAGGGAGGGGGCTCCAGCGCGGATCCAAGCACTCCGCGCGGACCTCCAGACTTGGCATCGCTCGGACGTGTGCATTTTTTTCCTTCGGCGAGGGCCATCGAGGAGCATCCTTGACCATTTGGCGAAAAAACACGCACGAAACCAAAAAAAAAAAACACACACAAAAAATGGACGTCCGAGCGATGGCGAGTAGAAGTCGATGCCTTTATGCAGCGCGTTGTTCCTCGAAGCGGTTCTGGCCGGCCCGATCCGGTTCGATGTCAGTATTCCGACGGTCCGACGCGGCCCGATGTCTGCATGATGCAGCCCGATATTTGCACCGTGGCGCGGCCGATCCGATTCAGTTTCAGTTCCTCCTCCTCCTCCTCCTCCTCCCTCCTCCTCCTCCTCCTCCTCCTCCTCCTCCTCCTCCTCCTCGCAGCCCCATCCGGCGATCCGATGCGGCCCGATGTTTGCATGGTGCAGCCCGATACAGTCGGGGCGCTGAGGAAGGAGCCCTTTTTGTTGGGGAGGGGCTCCGTGTTCCTTCATTGTTTCGCGGCTTGCCTCGGGTTTTCCGGAGGTTTTCCGTGGGAGTTCGAGGTCGAACTTATTGGAAAAAAGGGGCCTCGTTCCTTATTTATCGTTCCTTAGATCAACGCCCCGACTGTACGACGATCCGATGCGGCCCGATGTTTGCATGGTGCAGCCCGATATTTGCGTCGTGGCGCGGCCGATCCGATTCAGTTTCAGTTCCTTCCGTGCCGACGCAGCCCCATCCGACGCATATGCCGATTCGATCAGATTGCGAAGGCCTTACGGCCGGTGCCGCCGACCCTGAGAGCGACGAAGATGAAAACGAGGGGGGGGGCAGGGGGAGGAGGATGAGTGGGAGGTGGAGGAGGAGTGGAGGAGATGGATGAGGGAGGAGGAGGGGGGAGAAGGATGTGGAGGAGAAGCAAGAGTAGGAGAAGGAGGCAGAGGAGAGCAGGAGGAGGGGGAGCAGAGGGGGGGGGAGGAGGAGGAGGAGGAGGAGGAGGAGGAGGAGGAGCAGGAGGAGGAGGAGGAGGAGGAAGCCAGAGGCTTTCTTGGGACAGCCTGTGGCTCTCTAGAGGCCGTCTTGGGCCGTCCAGGGCTCCTCTTGCGCCGTCTCGAGGCACTCTTGGAGGCCTCCTGGGCAATTTGGAGCTCTCATGGGCTGTCTTGGGGCAGTTTGGGGGCCCCTTGGGAGCCTCTTGGGGCCTCTTGGGGCTTCTTCGGGGCCTCTTGGGGGCCTCTTGGGGCTGAGAGTTCGAAATGTCCGTTTGGGTCCCCCATCTGGGCACTCTCTGGGAGCCGTCTTGGGGGCCTCTTGGGCCGTCTTGGAGGCGTCTTGGGCCGTCTTGGGATCCTCTTCGGCCATTAGGGAACCCTCTTGGGGGCCTCTTGGGCCGTCTCGAGGCGATCTTGGGGGCCGCCTTGACGCGTCGGGAAGCGGAAGAGGCAAGAACGCCGTCGGACAGCCGAAAAGGCGAGAACGTTGCAATCATTGAAATCTTTATACAAAATGAACGATTTTAGCTCCTGGGGCTCTCTTGGGCTTGCTCTTGGCGCTCTCGTTGAGCTTCTCGGGAGACGCTAAAATGAACGATTTGATCTCCTGGGGCTCTCTTGGGCTTGCTCTTGGCGCTCTCTTTGAGCTTCTCGGGAGACGCTTGGGCCGTTTTCGGATAGTATTGAACGTCTTGGGGCGATCGTTTATGGATGCGTTGCGCTATTGTACTGTTTTGGGGATGTATTGGGGCGCTCTTGGCTCGCCTTGGAGCTGTTATTGGCCTTGCTACTTCCCGGCAGGAAAACGAATCTGGATGGCGACCCCCCACGGGACCCCCCCAGGACCCCCCTGGGACCCCCTCAGGACCGCCCCAGGACCCTCCCGGGACCCCCCCCCCGCGCGGGGAAGGGATCAAAGGGAAGGGGCTTCCCTTCGATTGAACTACGACGTTGCTCAATTTCGCTGTGGACGGCTTGTCCGAGGAAGGAGGCCCAGGTGAGTGGAACTCAGGACGACGGCGACGAGAACGGCTTGTCTGAGGGAAAAGGCCCAGGCCAGTGGAGTTCAGGAAGACGGCGACGACGAGTCGAGCGGGAAAGCCCGACTCGAACGGAAGAGCCCCTCACGCACGCCGACAGGGTCGGCGGATTTCCCGATTCGATGTTGGCTGATTCTGCACCGAACCAGGGTTACCTCTGGCGACTTCCTTCGGGCGGCCACGCCCCTAACGCCACGGGGGCAGCGATAGGGCCGCGGCGTGTTGGGTGCCCCGACCGCGCCCATTCGATCAGCTGATCATTATCCTCTTCAACTTCCTCCTCCTCCTCCTCCTCCTCCTCCTCCTCATCATCATCATCCTTCTCCCTCCTCCTCCTCCTCCCTCCTCCTCCTATTCCTCCTCCTCCTCCTTCTCCTCCTGGTCCTCCTCCTCCTCCTCCTCCTCCTCCTGGTCCTCCTCCTCCACCTCCTCCTCATTTTCCTCCTCCTCGTCCTCCTCCTCCTCCCTTAACTTCCTCCTCCTCTTCCTCCTCCCCCTCCTTTCATTCCTTCTCCCTCCGACGCGCATCCCCGGAGGAGTCTGGACCCGCGGGGTCGCCTTGGTGGCTTGACAAAGAGAATCCCGAAGGTGCCGGCGTCGCAGGGGCGGGCATGGTTGTGCCGCATCTGGCTGGACGTGCCCTCCTCGCGCCCGAGCAGGGAGCTGGTCGCGGGCTGTTGCGCCCGCTGGATGGCTGACGCGAGGTCTCCTCTCGCGGACAAGCTGCCGTGCTTGTCGCTGATGAGAGAGGACCGCCTGCGCGCACCCGCTCGGTGCGGCATCTGCGCAACGGAGCATCGCTCGGACGTGAGGCGTTCCAGAAAGGGCCTCGCCGTCAAGGGACGAAGGAGTTGTCATCTCTGCTTCGGCGGAGGGCGGCGGACTGGAGGCGGGAGCCCGTGGAAGTGGAACGCGGCCGCCGCCTGTCCGTACTTTCACTTTGGCCCACGTCCGAAGTAAATTTTATATACATAAATGTAGATCAGCACTCCATCAGATCATAGATGCGAGCCACTATATCCCCACAATATCATACTACCAACGCTTGCTACATATATTAGAGCAAAACCACAAGCTGGCGTTCGTTCTTGAAGTCTGTCCGCATATGACACATACAAGTTCTTTGCCTGCGTCATCAGGTCGAAAAGGGAGTACAACATGACAACGATTCCCTGGCTTCTCGGTGCGCTCATTGTGGGCTTCGATATCTGCTGTCCAACGAGCAAGTGAACGTCTCGGGCAAAACGTCCACCCGTCAGGGTTTTCAGGATCGCAGAGTAATCCAGCCCGACACAACACTGTATTTTTCCCGTTTGCACTGTATACATTCAATACGCACGCCTCCTTTCTTCGTCGGCCGTCTGGTAAGGCCAAGCACATGATAACCCTGAACCACAGCTGCACGGTTGTGTAGCATTCGCTTCTGTTCGAAGAGGAGGTCTTTGCCAGTCAAACCAGCAAGGTCGGATAATTCAGTAGCTGTCCACCGTATTGTTGCACGTGTTGTGGCAATAGTTGTAACTTTGTTGACCTGCTTTGCCATCTCAACTTCTCGCGCCGCATGTGCTGCTTGGAGAGTGAGGTCGGATTCGCGTACTGTTTTGCTTAGGTTCTTTGTGAGCTTCGGTACCGTCCACACAGGCGTAGGAACAGTGCCCCAGAGTGGGGTGACTCGTAGCCCAGCATTATTGTCCGTTGTGGCCGGCTCCATCGAGTACAACATTCTCATGGTGCGCTCGTGGTTGACAAAGATAGGGCGGCACATGAAACCAGGGACCTGTCGTATCCCAAGAGGCGTCAGCGTACCCCTCCATCATCGTACCCATCCGTGGTCCATGCAGCGACAAAGTAGGGCCATCCGAGCTGCTGCTGTCGAGAAGTACCTCGCCATGCGCTCGAGGGTGGCCGTCGCTGCATTCTCCTGTGCCGACACAAGGTCCAGGCCTGTGCAGATAGTAAAGTCGATAGCAAGCTCTGCCCAAGGAACTGAAAGTGGTGCCGTAGGTGTATCATCTGCTTCCCATCGCAATTGCGAGGGATACCAGACAATAGCCGAAACGATCGCCCGCTGATACTTCCAAGTGTTGTAGCCCAGGGTCTCTGGGATCTTGGGTGTGAACTTCTATGTCGTCAGGTTTGGTGTAATTGTGCCCCAAGGATACCCAGGAAAAGGCCATTCGGGGACTCCATGTTAGTAGATTGCACGTCGAGGGGTCAATAACTATCGGTAGGTGTGAGCTGCTCGAGGTGCTCGTCGTGGTTGCCGTGATAGTAGCTGGTCGTGCTGGCGTGGTTGTGGTGGCACTCATGTGTGATTATGGTCGTCGTGGTGGTGTTGACTTGCTGCGGACCTGCGTGTGGGCTTTGTGTCAAGCACCGTCGTAGGTGGTAGTGGTGGAGATGCCATGTCTGGGTCCCCGTCAGGCACTCGTGGCGACGTGATGCCTGGTAGCCCGAATGGCACACCAGGACTTTGCGTTCTAACGCCCGTGGCGACTGAACCTGGTGGCCCCAATGGCACACCAGGATTTTGCGTTCTAACACCAGGTGTGCCAGGACAAGGACCCAGTCGAGACTCGCCCTCGCCTTCACCAGACAGATCCATACTCGGATGCGCCCATGGGTCATCGTCGTCTTCATCAGGTACATGCTGATCGACACCATCATTGTCGGCATCAAGAAAAACTGGTACATGTTCACATATGTTATTGTGCTTGTCACGACCCATCTCACGTAAGGCTGCTGCACGTCGCTCAAGGATGATGGCACCGTCGAGCTGGACGGCGTAACATAGCTTATGATCTTGGAGATGCTATTTTCGAACTTGCTGTGGCAACGAATGCAGACGAGAGGCGCGAACTGCTCCTGCATCTGCTTGCTGGTTGCGCTGCCAGAGGGGCAGTTCCTCATCTTGGACATCGCTCTGCTTGCGGTGCGCCCTGATCTTCTGTATCTGGAAGATTTCGGCACCCGTAATCTCGACACCGGTTGCAATAGCTGTCCAAAGGTCGTGATGTTGACGAGGTTGTATATGTTGACCTTGGAGTAGAGCTGAGAACTGCCACACACAATAGGCATTGCCCGTGAGGTACACTTGTTTGCACCAAGACCAGGCAACAAAGTGTCGCAGCGCGGCAACTTCTGCACGTTGGGCCCCCTGCGACACACTGAAGAGCGGGACCTCTGTGTTACAGGCGTGGCCTTGTCCATAGCGGAGACAGTACCATGAGCGACGTAGTCGGAGGTCTGATGCCTGCCCAGGGCACGCACCGTCACCTGCAACAACAAGGTATCCGTCACGGTATAAAAGTGTTGCATCTTCTCCCTGACCAATCTCATAGTCCCCGTCCGCATGATGTGGAGGCGGTGGGAGATCTGGTTCGTCAGGGAGAAGTTGGGCAGCAAATGCGTCGTGCTCAGCTCGATCTGGCAGGAGCCCGCACTGCCGCAGGCAACTAGGAAGTTCCTGCATCGACGCTCTGTCATATTGATCAAGTAATGGCTTGCGTAGTCGTTCCCAGTACACAATCATACAGTACATGGTCCTTCGTCTCGTCAGCAGCGCCACAGAAGACACGCCGTTTGTGAACAGCTTTTCCCGTTATGTAGCGCAGCCTGTGTCCAGTGATTGTCGCGCCTTGTAGCATCGCACGCAGCTATGGTAGCTGCGTGCGCAGTAGCTTGGGGGTGCATTCACCGGTCGCGTTCAGCATGAGGGGCGGCTGAGATTTGGGCTCCTCCGTAGTGTCTTCATCTTCTGAAAGTAGTGTGCGCTCAGCCTGTCTGAGGATCGCAGTAGTGATGTGGTAGTTGATCCCTGCGGTTGAGCCCTGCAGGTCTTTGCGCTCCAAGAGCGCATCGTCTGTCTTCCAAACCCAACGGCGGTCAGTCCTCAGGAAGAAAATGAAGCCACCAGCCAGAGGGATGTCTGCACATGTAGATCAATTGACCGTTGGCGCGCTTGGAGCGATCAAAATCTGGCCAAGGCTAACCATGTTCATCCAATACTTCTTTGATGCGCGCCATCGGTCCTCCGTCGTTTGCTTTTGCATTTCGCACGTCATGCCCCCCACGCACCTGCTGTGGCATAGGTGTCCAACATTGCTTAGCCCTCGGAAGGAGCCGTGCAGCGCATGGACTGGTCAGCAGGCGGCGTGCAACTACAAGGAGGTGTTGGGTTGCGATTCGAATGGGATCTAAGACATGGCCTTTTGTGATCAAGGCGAGCGTCACCGCAGGCGAGCGGAATGCCTTCCCCTTGTACCACCGCGAACCCATGATGGCCGAGCGAAAGTTGCGGTAGTTGTGGCGCTTGGGCTTGCGAAACTCAAGGCCTGGGGCTAACCGTGGTAGAGACGCCGATGCTAGTAGGCGCGGCGTGCTACACGAAATGCTGAGGCATAACGCTGACGCCGCTGGCGTGGTGGACACGCGCCAAAGGATACAACCTCTCCACCAACGAGAACAAAGTGTCCGGTAAATCGTACACCAAGCCCTCGCGATGCCATCATCTTCGAAAGCTCCCTCAGCTTTCGCAGTGGTGGCGCAATGAAATGTCTTCTTCTGCCTGGTCCCCGCGCCGCTGCACTTGTCAAAATCCAAGGAGGTCTGAGTGGCACGCGCGGTGCAGAAGGCACGCCGAGGTCCATTTGAAACTACTGACGCGAGCAGGCCCTTCAGCTTCAACAGCGCGAGACCGCATTGTCATGAGCGCGAGGGCTTGCTGGAGGGACCAGCCGTCGCCCTGTGCGTAGCCGTTGCGCCTGATGGCAGTTGGTCCAACAGCCCGGGCAACTTTCCACCTGGCGGTAGGAGCTGACTAGAAGGCCTGCTCAGCATGCAAGACTCTTGGTGGACACACACCCTAACGCTCGCATCAGGTTGTCACCGATCTCATATTCCAACAAGTCAAAGAACGTTCTTCTGTCGGCCGTGCATCCTGACATGGCGGCGCCCGTCAGATGAGCGCGCTCGATCTCGGGATTGACTTCCCAGGCGATATCTTGATAATGGTGACCCTGTCGTGCTCCCGCCGCTCCCTGGTGCAACCGCTTCTCGCGCCAGTCAGACATCTGCTTGAAGCGATCACCAAAGAGGGCGGTATAGATATGGCGTAGGTTCGTGATGGGACGCGTCTGGTCGACCGTGGCCAACCACATTTCATCTGGTTCAACTTCTGCTGCATGATCTGCTTCAGGATCCCACTTCGGTAGACAGCTGGTGATGCCAAGGGCCATGACACGGGGCCATCCTAAACATTGGCCCTCCACAGCCATGCGAAGCAAAGCAAATAAATCACGTATGCATAACGGTAAGGCACGCAGCTCAGCAACTCTCCAACCGTCAGCTCATAACGGTAAGGCACGCAGCTCAGCAATTTCCCGAAACTGTTGTCTGAGGAGAGCGCCAGTGATGTCTGTGATGTCGCACTGGTGCTGTGTAATGCATTTGCCAAACCGCTCCTGTAAGCCCTGCCACGGATGTAGCTGGTCCTTGTTGAAAATAGTACGCCAGAAGCGGTCCACCTGTTCAGTGATATTGTAATGGCCTCCAGCCATTGCCGCCGATCCGGGTGGCTCCGGATTCGGTGATTTTCGCGGTTCTGTGGCTTCCTCCCTGCTCGATAATTATGATATTTTTTCTTCTCCCTAGTTCTTGTTATCCTCTGCCTCCCGCTGACCCCTTTGCGTCGCGTGCTCGCTCCCCTCTCCGTCCTCGCTCATCCTCGTTCCCGCTGGGGGGGGCCTGGA